ATAACAGCACTAAAATTCATCCTCAGGTACAAGACAACCTAAAATTAATTCCAAGTTTAATCTAGCTAAAAGTTCTATTTATAACAAAGAAAACTTAAATTAAAAGCACAGTATAAACAGAAAGTTGCTAACAATAGGCAAACAGATGTGTGCTGGGTAGGGGTGAGATGTTTCAAAAAACGAACTCAAATATATTTAAATTAGAAACTAAAAAGTCAGAACCAATGCTGGAGACTTGGTCCTCAGTGTACTCCACTAGATTATTTAAGTGTAGTTTAAATAATTAATACATTATTTAAGTGTATACTTTCAGATACCTTCATATTCTGAAGATTTTAGGCAAAAGTTGGCTGTTTCCACACTCTGCAAAGAAAGAAATGTCAGGGAAGCTGAGGTTTATTGATACAGTGGAGAATTCTGAATATTAACTCCTATCTCCATCTTGACTTAAACTGCAAAGCCAGATCTATCCAGTAATTTAGCATGTTTAGCAACTGAAACTCAACACAGACAAGATTAAAATGTCAGTTGTCTGAAAATGCAACAGAGTCATGTCTTTGCTGTCAGAAGGGGATGACAGAAGTGAAGGATACATTTGCCCTGACATACAGTTACACATCTGAGATCCCTTTGGATTTCCACCATTTCTGAACTCACAGTGCTCTGCTGATATTAATGGCTGGTATTTAGAGGTCAGCAACAGTTCTTGCCAGAGTAAGAAGTAAAAGCCATGTCAGCTCAAGGCTGAACATCTGTGAATACTGGAAATGGAGCTGCACTTCCAATGCTGAGAAAATTTCAGCCTCTGCAGAGTTTGGCAAGGCCTTTGCTTAATGCACTTTCTGCAACTGTGTTCTTCAAATTATGTACAATTCAAAACCTCACTTATACATCTGTGACATCCATTACTTAAAACTTGCCTGGAGGAAATCCAAATACCACTGTTAATAAAATGGCAACTAAATCCTTCAGTCCATCATTACAAAACTACACGAGGGCAGTCTCCGGACCAAGTATTTTGGTATTTCTGACATGTGAGGCATTGAACAGAATTTCTGAGGTGGTCTGAGGAAGATCATTCTATAGAGACATACCTGAATTTAATTAATATAATTAATATAAACTGACACTATTTTTAACTGAAGTGTGAAGTAGTGATAAACTATTCACTATGGGTAGAAAGCAACTAAAAATGACCTGCTGTGGACTCATTTTAAAATTAAGATCTGATGAGCAACCTGGTAAAGCCAAATCAAAATTTCAGGCAGTTTTTTTTTCCACATTTAACTCCATATTAAAGTGCTCTTACTTACACATAGCACCTGACTGAAAGTTCTCATCTGCTTCTACATAGACATTACTGAACATGACCATCACAAATGCAGAAAAAACTATTTTGCTTGCCTTGCATAGAAATAAAAATGATAAATTTAAGATCAAAATATTAGAGGTGCAAGATAAAGATGAATCTTAAGTGTTGCTGCATTACAGAAGCATATTATTTGTACATCAGCTTATAAAATTCTTAACATACACATTGAAATTTTCATCCTGATGAAGCTGTTGTGAATTCGATTGTGTTTTTACTTGTGACAGGCATCAAAGTCACTGTAAATTAAACTCTAGTCTCCTTCATCCAAAACAAGCATCTTGTTTTCATTTACAGAAATATCTACATGAAATTCCACCAGCAAAATGAACCCTGGTCTGCAACACCCTGATAGTAAGAACTGGTACTCACTTAGACCTCTCTACCTTGGGTTCAAAATTTAACTTTTAAATACAGTAGCATCCTGGATGTCTCACAGATTGATTCACAAATTTTAAATCTTGAATTTTGTAGAATACACTCTACAAGGTACATAAAAGGTATAATTAAATTCACTAAGACCATAATTAGAATCATAACTGAATGTGTTTACATTAAAGTTCCATAAGCTCTCCAACTAAAAAGCTCATTTTCAGTTTTTTCTGTGAAAAATTCTGGAAAGAATAAAATTAAGTTCTTGCACAGCAATCTGATTCTTCAAGTTCATCTTCCAAGGTCAGAGTACAGTTGGACTGGGGTAATGTGTAACAGCAGGTAACTCCCAGAAAACAAAAAGCATTGCCAAGAATCCAATTATTTTATCAAGGCAGTGGTGATTATTTCATTTTCAGCTGTCTATAAAAAGGAAAAAAAAGGGCACTTTTACTTTGCGTAAATGTAACAGATTAAATTCATCTATATCATATTAAAACGCTCTTCTCTCAGTGAATTAAACATCCCCAACAAAAGGCATTTTACTCTAAATAGCTGTCCCAGGTTTACGTGAACTAGAACTGATGTCTAAAATTCCTACCTGCCCACCACACTAAGTGTGCTAGAAAAGTCTGCTCCTCTGAAGCTTCAGAAAATGTGTATCACTGCTGCAGAAAAAAACCCCTGCATTTGCTTTTATAATCTACCAGATGTGCAAATACCCAAGTACTAATTTGCCATTTTGTAATTAACTATATACACACCAGTCTGAGCCTCTTTCTTACACACAGAAGCTCAGTGAATGTGAGGAGTTGATACAGGGATTCCATCAGAAATTCAGTATGTTCATACTAAAAGCAGAGAAACAGTTTTGCTATAGAAGAAATCCAGCATTTCTTTTTTATATTTTATACAAGGATTTTTTATCAGTATCAGAGCAGTCTAAAACTGGCTGATTCAGCTAAAAACATAAATCAGGAAAAGTGAACATATAAACAATTCAGTGCAATATTCATTAAGATAAAGCGCTCTAAAATCAACTACAAAGACTTCTTACAAGTCAAGTCTGAGGGAGAAATAACACTTTGATTACACAGTGATTTAGCAATTATACCAGTCTTTGTACAACTCCTTAAATTGAACTTCACAGATCTACTAAATTGAGAACAACTACCATGATTAAAAAAAATTAAATATGTACACAACTATCCCTTCTTTCCTCAAAAAATATAACACATCTGTCAATAAATTTAAAGTTATCCTGCTTCCACCCTTCTTGAAATTCACAGTTAAATAATGGGCCATTTGAGGCAGTAGTTCAAAAAAACCTCTCAGCTCAAAATAATTAACAAAAAACTGTGAATAGTTTCAAATACTAGTCACCACAGTTTTGACAGTGAACACATATTAGCATTTCAAAAAAGTATAGTTTCACCTCATCAGAAATTTACACCCATGAAGTAACTGACATGACTCTACCATAACAACAACAAAAATTTGTCAAATACAGCAGTTACTGCTGATTGTAGCAATAATAATAAAATACTTCTTACTCTTCAAAGTACCATCAGTTGTCACCTTCCACAATAAGCCAAGCCCCACTGAGGACAAAAGTGGCAGTTTCACAGTATGAAAACAGTACTTTTAACAGCAATCTACAAAAATCCATACACTGCTGTGTATTTAGATAAAATTGCAGTAAAATTTCTCTCTCTGAACTGACTTGCTTTTCCTACAGATTTCACAGGAAGCCATGCAATTATGACATTCTTGAAAGCAGGAACTGTTTATTAATCTTTTAGAAATGTTTAGAAAGAGATGTTTACATGTAAGTAACTTACTAGATTTAGGAAAGAAAGCTGAGAACTGAAAAGGGGAACAGCACAGTTTGGAATTTGGGTGATTCTACTCAGCCACAAACGCAAGTGTAACAGTTTCCAGGTCACACAACTAGTTAATGACATCCATTAATGCAGCAGACGTGACACAGAGGCTGAAGAGAAGCCACAGTTATTACAACAAAAAAACAAAGAAACGACTTTTGCCTGCAGCACATGATTTAACACAGGCAACAGCAAAAGTTGGAAACTTCTCCTTTTGGATTTCCATCACACCACTGAAACACAACTAGATTAACATGTATAACTTTTTAATGTTTCTATTCCTCGGTAATTGCTGGGACCAATTACGACACCAAGAGTCACACAGTGATTACATTATAATAAGAAAGTGAAACACAAGGGTTTAAAACTACTGTTTTAAAGGGTATAAACAGTAACTACAATATATTTAAGGATATGTAAACATTTGTAAAAGTATTAACATCATTGTGACACTGGCGACATGCTAGAAAGCACAAGGCTATCAACAGTTAACCAACACCTAAAGCAGCCTCTCCTCTGCTTTGCCTACAACTAAATGCTTCTCAACATGTTCAAAGTTCAGTTTGTACTATTTTTAACCAGAATGGATAAAACCCAAGAAGTTCTGTAGGCACCAATCACCTTTCCTAACTATGTTCCTTACATAACAAACTTAGCACCACAGCCCACGTGCTGGTGCACTGCATCCTCCAAGTCAGGAATTAGAAACTCCTAACAGGACCAAAAAAAAATAAAAAAAAAATAAAAAAAAAATCCAAACTTTTCAAAAGTAACTAAATGGGTTGAACAACACACTCAGACGCCTACATTGCCATGACAACTCAGTATGTATTCACAAGATATCAGTCTTCACCCTTTCAAGTTTTAAATCAAAAGTCCATAATAGCGTCAGAATGGCCTGTATGGAATATTCATAGAATACCAGAATGGTTTGGGTTGGAAGGGACCTTAAAGACCATCTCGTTGCAAACCCCCCTTGAACACCTTTCATTTGACCAGGTATCAATTCTTCAGCACATGATTTAATAAGACAGTTAGAAAGAGCATTAAAGAAATAATAGTGACGGAAGTCCGTCAAGTTCTGTGAAACAAAAGGATGTCGATACAATGTAGATACAACTTCATACTCATCCTAAGCCAAAGAAATTTCAGCAACTGGGAAAGCACACGGGAGGGAAAGGGATGCCATGCTTTGCTTTTGTACCTTTCTCAGAGTGAATAAGCACCAACAGACACTTCAGGATAGTCTTAAGTCAGATTCATCCTCCCCTAACACAACCTGACTCTTCAGCAAATTAAACACATAAAAAGCCAACAAAACACCACAAAGAATACAGAAATTATTGAAAGGTACCTTCCTTTCAAGATGCCCATACCTGTGGGAGTGCAGTATTGAGCTGTCTTTGCAAGGAATCTCTCTCATGACCGACTTCATGCAGCTTGCCCTGGGTCAGTGCCAGGGTCTCCTGAGTTTCCCTCAGTGTTTCCAGGAGGCGATCCCTTTCTTCCAACATGGACACCATTAACTGCTCAAAATGGGAATCAGCATCTGACTGTAATGGGGAACCTGAACCGTGGCCTCCATTTCCCCCAGCGGGAATCTCGGCCTCACTGATGGTTGGCATCACCTCACACATCATCTTGAAATGAAACGAGACAAAAACCGTAAAGTCGAGTTAAACAGATCTAAACAGGCATTTTGAGTGCTGCCCATAATATCCACTTAGATTTTCCCCATGATAGAATCAGCAAGGGCTGCCAACACCTCAGTGTTTGCCACTGTTTCATTAAGGCTGAGAAAAGGTAACACAGTCAATTTAATCAAGGCATCACTTCGTAATGAGAGTCTTGTGACTTCTTGCAAAACCAGATTTTTACAGCCACGTTTCAAAGTGTGATCTCATTTTAACGGATTTATATTTCTGTCAGGCGTGAACTGCTGCCGAGATCTTTAAGAAAAAAAAACACAAAGATAAGGCATGCAGCTTGCCCCCCAAAATTACACACTTAACCCAGTAACTGCTTACATAGCACATTTTGAGAATCATTATCTGTTCCTTCCAATGCTTCAAACGCATAAAGATCACATCTAAAACAGTACTTTGAGCTTTTGTTGGCTGCAGAAAGTTTAGGGGTGAAAGTGATACATGTAAATGAGAGGCAAATCCAAATAGTCCAATTCAGGAGATAAAACATGTGAAGAAAGACATAAAGCAAAAAAAATCATTACAAAGTAGTAGCAGCTGTCAATGTGGATAACAAAAGGAAAGGTACGCAAAAATAATTAAAGGCAGAGAATGAACACAGTTAAAACAATGCAAATGTAAGCACCGTACTACTGTTAAAACTGGGAGGACTTTTTAGAGACTCTAACAGATCCTTACCAGAGCTAAGGCATCAAGTTTTTAAAAAGTATGGAAAAAAACCCACTAATACAATTACTGCACACTCTCACTGAACCACTAAGACTTCTCTAGTTCTTCAGACAGCCTCTCTCACCATCACAAACCTACAAGAACCTAAGGTACATCAGAAAAAGCAGTTCTCTCAACCTCTCAGGTGGCACGAACTTTGTTCTCAGCCTTAAATTTCATACCCATATCTGAACATTTTAAAGAACAACTAAACTCATTGTGAGTCTTATTGTGAGTCCTCTCTATCCCCTGAAAGACTTGGAATGGTCTGAGATGCTTTGTAATGCTTTCATGCATGACTACGATAAGCCCTGTATTTTCCCCACTACACTATTTACCTTGTTCAATAAAACAAAAAGGCTTGGAAGACAGGCCCCAGGTATCCTGCAGTACCAGTTCTTCTCTGTTTTAGCAGTTTTCTGTTACCTCCCAAAACCTTTCGGCTTGCAAAGCATCCATTCAGCTCCAGTCCAATGTCTGTTTAATCGAAACACCCCATGCACATGAAAACAAATAAACCTGCCGAGGAAAGAGCAGATCCAGTAAAAAGCAGCAGCAGCTTCAGCCAAATCGCCAAGTCCCCGGAACAGAAGATTGTTAAAATAAACTGCCTCAGCTTCCCATCCCTCTATTACTGGCCCACAGGTCCTGCAATAGCTGGGATGGGGGAATCACGTGCTGAGAAAATAAAATTAAAAAAAAAAAAAAGTAGTCCGATGCAGCGGTGCAAGAAGCTTCAATTAGTTCTTCGCTCATAAATTCCACTCAGGTCACAATCGCATTATTAAACACCGTGCGGACAGCACGGGAAAAAAACAGCACGGGCTTTCTTGCGGAGGATTTGGAAAAGCCTCCCTTGTTTTCTCTCCTGTTGATTCCAACGGGAGGCTCTCCTTCCAGTTCCCTGGGTCTTAGTTCAAACATTTATAATCCCAACAGCGAGGCGCCGGTGCCACTTCGGAGAAAAGGCGAGGAGAGGTGGGGGGAAGACCTGTTGTTTCCTAGTCCCGCACCGCGGGTCGGTTCCGCAGGCGATGCTCCCACAGTGAGATATCCAGCAGAGGGGAAAGAAAGGAACCGGGAGGGCGCTCGGCCTGGGGCAGAGGAGTGGGACGAGCGTCGGAGGGCCCGGCGAACAAAGCTGCGGGCGGCAGGGCTCTGCTGCTCCCCTGCCCGCCACGGGCAGCGCCGGCCGGGCCTCCCTCCTCCCTTCTCCCTCTTTCCCTCCTCCCTCGCTCCCCGCCGGAGGCCCCAGCACAACCCGCAGCGAGCCCGGCGCGGAGGCCCCGGCGAGCGCTCCCTCCCTCCCGCCCCTACCGAGCGGCAGGGGAGCGTCCCCTCGGCCCGGGCCCGGCTCCGCCCGCTGCGCCCGTGGCGGCCGGCGAGGGGCTCCCCCGCACCGGGTGAGGGGGCGGCACAAGCCCGCGGAGCCCCGATGGCCGCGGTAGCGCTACCAGTGCCACACCGATCGCCGCGTCGGCCTCCTCCCGCCGCTCCCAGCGCACTCCGCGGCTCCGCAGCAATCACGGCGGCGCCCACAATGCATCGCGCGGCGCGGCGCGGCGCGCTCGCTCCTGTCTCGTTCACTCCCTCCCTGCCCACTCGGCCAGCGTGGTGGTTCGAGACCCGCGGCCCCCCGCTCCTGCCACACAAGCGATAGTCCGGCCGTCCACGGTGCCCGCCCGGGGAGGGAGGCGGGCTCGCTGAGGGATGAAAAAAGGGCAAGGCTGGAGGAGTCAGCGCGGCGTGTGCAAGTTTCGTCGCAGTCGCAGCCCATGGCCGGGCCTGCGTGTCGCGGCAGGGCCCGGCCAGGCGGGGCTGCGGCTCCCGCCGCGGGCAGCGCGATCAGAGGGGAAGCCGGGGATGGCTCTCATTGTCCCAACCCGCTCCCGTCGCCTCAGTGTGCCCTCTCGGCCTTGGCCCGCGCCCATCACCTCAGCTCCGCTCAGAATCTCAGAATCAACTGGGTTGGAAAAGAGCTCTGGGGTCATCAAGTCCAACCTACGACTCAACACCACCTTGTCAACCGGATCGTGGCACTGAGTGCCACATCCAGTCTTTCCTTAAACACCTCCAGGGGTGGTGACTCTACCACCTCCCTGGGCAGCCTGTTCCAATGCCCACTCACTCCTTCTGTGAAGAACTTCTTCCTAATGTCCAACCTAAACCTCCCCCAGTGAAGCTTGTGGCCTCTTGTCCTACTGCTGGTTGACTAGGAAAAGAGACCAACCCTCACTGGGCTCCAACCTCCTTTCAGGGAGTTGTAGAGAGTGATGAGCTTCCTCCTCTCCAGGCTAAACAACCCCAGCTTCCTCAGCCACTCCTCGTAGGACTTGTGCTCCGGACCCTTCACCAGCCTCGTTGCCCTTCTCTGGACCTGCCCCAGCACCTCAACATCCTTCCTAAATAGAGAGGCCCGGAACTGGACACAGCACTCGAGGTGCGGCCTCACCAGTGGTGAGTACAGGGGAAGAATCACTTCCCTGGTCCTGCTGGCCATACCATTCCTGATACAGGCCAGGTGCCGTTGGCCTTTTTGGCCACCTGGGCACACTCCTATCCCTGTGTGCAGTCCACAGTAACTGAGAGTGGATCAATATAGGGCCAGGACTTGGAATGCCACAAATAAAACTGAATAATCAGATCTTTGCATAATGCTCTGTACTGCACTTAACACACATGAAATAATAAAGTCAAGAGAACTCCCAGGTTCTGCAAGTACCAAAATATTTCTCAGCATTCCTATTTACTTTGTAGGACAAGGAAAAGAGTTTCCTTTTTTTCTTCCTCCTGGGCACGTAATACAGGATATACCGTATGACATGAACAGCACCAGCAGCTCAGTTCTTTTTAGTGTGATGTCTCTTTTGTAAGTTCAGTGAGAGGTCTGGCTCCCTGTCCATGTCATTCAGTGAGATGTAACACTTGGAGTTGTGTCTAGAAAGAGCCATACGTACATCAGCTGACAGCAGAATAAGTTCAGAGACCCAGGTTAAATATCTCCCCACTCCTTGCACCTCAAAACCACCTGATGAAATTCAAACAAAGGCTGTTAAAAATGGGATGGGGGAAGAGGGAAAGGTTTTCCTTTCCTGTCACATGATAAATTAGATCCTAATGTTTGTCCAAGCTCAGCAAAACAGCAACCTCTTCCTGCCAGAGTGTTGCAGGGTGAGATGTTGAGGTCTGGCAGCTCTGAGGACAAACACCTGCTGCCACCAGCAAGGAAGAGCTGCCCACCAGAAGGTGAAGGAGCAAAGCACTTCTCTGTTTGCTTCCCCCACTGCTTTCTCTGCCCACTGAGTGCTTTATGCTTCATTTGTGCTGAGGTTTCCTTTGTGAGCCTCAAAGCCACCCTGTTTGAGCACAAAACCTCCATTGAAAATAGTCCAAGAGTGCCTACGCATTTTTTTTCCCCTGTGAGTCAAGTTGACGGTACCTTATTTACTTCTTATCCTTACAGATGACTTAATGACTTAGCAGCAAAATGCATTCTGAACACATTTCATACCAAAATGAATAGATGAAAGAAAAGGGCTTTTGCCAACAGCACTGATTATCCTTTTGTCAGTAGACATATGTGACCTGGACCATTCTGTTACTGTAACAAATGTCTCCAGAGGTTGCTAGACAGAGGAAACACTTTGCCTGAGGGAGAAGGAATGAGAGGGGAAGAGGCTGGAAGGTGGCCTATAGAGAAGAGGACACAGGTAATTAATGGTTATGCCCATAAGTGCACTGGTAAAAGTGTCAGCCCTTTGGCAATAGAAGCTGTGACTTCTAGAAACAGGGCCTTGACACAGGTCTTAAGATTGACATTTTATTTGTATAATATGGGTCTACATGGATGTGTGTTGGATTTAGGCAGGTGTAAATCAAATCAGAATTGGCTGCTCTGAAATTTAAGAGGGTTTTTGAGTTGGATTTACTCCCTCTGATTGGAAGAAAAATCTCCACAAAGCACACAGAAACCTGGAGTTGACCAGATGAACTTACACAATTTAGTTTAATGGGAATCCTACCTATGTCAATACCATAAATATTTTTTTTAATTCAGCTGCTATTCCTGCAACCAAAACCATGTATGCCCACTCAAGTCCAAACCTGCTGAACTAGAAAAGGTTTTCAGCTTAGTTGCAGCTTCAGTTGTGCAATTTGCAGTTTAGAATTATTGCGGCTCTTCTCTTTTTTGTATGGATTTACAGCAGCAGAAATCCCCTTGAGCTATAAAGGATTTCTAAAGCCAAGTATCATTTATTTCAATATGAAGTGAAATATACCCATGATACCTAATACAAACGTAGTACATTCACTTACTGTAGACTGATTTCAGCACATCTTCAAATAGTTTATAACTATCATGAAAGATATTGCATTCAGTTGTAAGTTCAGGGCAATAGATTTGCATATTATTTAGCTATCCATTTTGAAAAAAAAATATTTTTAGGAAAGGCCACATTCATGTGGCGTAGTTGTGAATAATATTGGAAGAAGAAACTGGAGTCAAGGATTCAGAACCAGCTATGATAATGCAACTCCTGCCCAACTAGAACCGGTTTGGATACATTCCATCTGGCTGACCACCTACATCATGAACCCATTTACCCTCAGTTTCCTCTGTAATCAGTGGAGTGAGGGAGCCACTCCATGGGAGTGATTCAGATCTTTGGTGTGGTCCATGAATCACCTGCTCAAGATGCTTGTCTCTTCTCCTTTACTCCAGAGGGAGCCCAGGGCAGCTGGACTCTTGCCTTGGGAGCCAAGGTTGGATGCCTAACCCAGCGTGAGATGAATCTGGATGCTGGGTACATGTGAGATCAGCACAGCTTGTTTGCAGGAAAAATGGATGTGAGCGTCCATAAGATTAAGCAGGGCTGTTATTGCTGGAGATTTAGCAGCTCATGGTTTGTCTGCTGTGTTAATTTTCACTGGTCTGCAGTTAAATTACTGCATTTGCAAGGCTTGAGCCTCAGAGCTCCAGAGCCATGGCAATATCTCAGGATAGACAATCACAGAAGTATAGAAGGGTTGGAGTTGAAAGGGACCTTAAAGATCCCATGGGCAGGGACACTTTCCACTCGACTAGGTTGCTCAGAGCCCCATTCCAGCCTGGCCTCAAATGCCTCCAGGGATGGGGGAGTCCACAACCTCTCTGAGCAACCTGTTCCACCCTTAAAGAATTATTTCTTATGTCTAATCTAAACCCACACTCCTTCATCTTAAGGCCATTCCCCTTGTCCTATCATTCCATGCCCTTTTGAAAAGTCCCTTTCCAGCTCTCTTAAAGCCCTTTAGGCATTGGAAGGGGCTCTAAGGTCTCTGTGGAGCCTTCTCTTCTCCAGGATGAACACCCCCAACTCTCTCAGCCTGTCTTCATACCAAGAAAAAAGAATGATGTTATATTTTATTCAAAAAATATATTCTTCCTGTCCTCACACACGTTGATCCCAGAGTAAGCTCTACAGAGCCTTTTACCTGTTTACTTCATGAGGTTCCAAGAGAGAACAGGAATTGGTTTCTAGGCGGATCATTTCAAAATTGAGGCTTCAGCTTTCAGAGTGTTTTAAGACCTGGTAAGAGAAAAATAAAATTGAGAGATTTTATTATTTTAATAATATATGTAATAAACTTTATAAATAGTCTGACTACAGTAAAAAGGATTTGCATGTGAAGTAATACTTCTGTTTCTGTAAATCGGAGTCTGAAGGAAAAAAATAGGAGTTTTTTTTCACTTTATCTGCTATGCAAAGGCTCCTGCTGTTTCAAGTGGCTTTGGAGTAGGCACTAGGCAAAGTGGACCATGATTTCTATATACTCAGGATCCTCTATTATTAGTCCTTCATACTGTAATAAAGTAGATAAAAGCATTTAAAAAATAAAGAGATCTCAAATAGCACTTAAGCCTATTTTTAATCCTTAACTGACTTGATTTCAAGTGATAACATACCTTTCATTACTTGCACAAAATTGTATGCAGCAATCACTGCCTTCGTTATTGAGTTGCATGTTGTATTGTGAAGATAATAATGTTGGGAAGGTATTAGTCCCAAATCATATGTATGCAGACAAGGCAAAAGGATTTTTCTGTGCAGCCAGCTTCAGCTTATAGGCAAATGAAAATGTAAATAACACTTTCAGTGAATCACCAGTTTATGTATGAGTTAAATGTTTATTTTCACCATTTTAGAACTCTCCACTGTCTTCACAGTATTCACTGAAAATATTAATTTGATGAAATGAATTGGCTGAGACGGTGACTAAAAACCAACATGGCCTCAAAATGAAGTCATAAAGCAAACTGCAGCAGATAAAAATTTTTAAAACTATATACACTTGCAATGGCAACAATGTGTTTCACAAAAAAAATCTCCAATTTCAAGGTAAACCTAAGGCTCAGGTGAAATTGTCTGCCAATAGATAGTGTGTTAAAGTGCTATCAAAGTTCATTTCCCAGTAATATT